TGTTAAACAACTTTATTGTCTGATCATTTCCTGGGCAGCAACTTTTCCTCTGTTCCTCAAGATCATTCTCACATACCATTACACTATCTGATGTCCTGTGGCATACCAATTTGAGCCTGGAACATTGAGTTTGGAAATGTTTTGGAAAACTGTTCTTGATTTGCTGTGCAATTCCTGATGTTCTTGTTGAAAACGAAAGCTCTGAAGATCATATCTTGGAAATACTCTAGCTTTGTACTTCCACTAGACTTGGCTTGGAATTTGCAAATCTGCAATTTGTGATCTCTTATACCAGGGGTTCTCAACCTTGGCAACTTTAAGACTTGTGGACTTCAACTCCCAGAATTCCTACCACTGTTGGGAGTTGAAGTCCACAAGTCTTAAAGTTGCCAAGGTTGAGAACCCCTGTCTTACATAGTTAGCTGCAGCCATGTATTAACTGAGGTCTTCCATCTCCTTGTACCAACAATGTATATATGTGTGTACCTTCAAGTCAGTGTTGACTCTTGGTGACTGCCTGGACAAGTCCATGTGATCTTCTTGGCCAAATTTTGGAAGTAGTTTTCTATTGCATCCTTCATAATGCTGAAAGAAAGTGACTGGCCCAATATGACCAAGGTGATTGTGTCTAAGGAAAAATCAAAATTCAGTCTCCTGGTTTCTAAATCTGATGCCTAATCCTTTGCACCGAAGTATTTGTCACCAATAATGTGGTCAATTTCATCATCTCTCTGGTGAAGTCCAGATATATAAGCAGTTAGTTTTTTAAATGATGTTTTAGCAATGAAGAAACCATTGGGTTGGCAGAAATTGATAAGGTACTCTGCTTTTTTTTTTCTATTTCCTAGTTTTTCTCCTTACTATTTCCACTTTTGGCAATCCAGCCTCCAACCCAAATTGCAGCAAATCCTGCTTGCATGTTCTGTCAATTACAGATTGAACTTGAACATAAAACTCATCAATCTTTTCTATTTTTCCATCAGTACGTGGAGCACAAGCAGTTGGATATCCATCACATTAAACATTATCTGTGAAGTCTAACTCAGGCCTTTTCAACCAGTGGTACGGGTACCACCTGTGGTACCATGCAGCAGTTAAAATCCTTCCACAGACAGCTCTTTTGTAGGAGCTGAAATGTTTCTGCAGGCAGCTCTTTGAGCCAGCTCCCAGAGACAAGAGAAAGCTGAAATCCAAGAGCAGAGAGGCAGCACATTAAGATAAGAAGTTTGGAGTGCCTCAGAGTTGGAGGAAACCCTGAGAGGCCCAACAGAAGCTACCCACAAATGTTTCTTCACTCAGGGACTGAAAATCTTCCTTGGATTTCAGCAGGGAGGATTTTCAACTTCTAAGCAGGGAGACATTTGCACATGACCTGCACTAGGGCCCTCAAGGTCTCACCGACCCCAGAAGCACCCAGGCTCTTTACCTGGGATCCATCCACTTAACAACCTTTAAAATTGCTTCACAATTGCAACAATGAAACATATTTATAATCCCATTAAGAAACACTTTTCTTACAACATAGGTATGTGGGAGGAAATGTTTTGGGGAATGAGGAGGAACTATTTTGGGAAATATTTAAAAAGCAGAATACTATATTTCCCCAAAGGATCTTAAAGACAGAAAAGCAGGCCCAGTTTTTCTTAATAGCCCCAAACAGAAACTAACAGGCCAGCTCTGTAGAAATGCAGATTTGATATTCCCATTCAGAAAGACTGAGGCCCCATTCATGAGCAAATACTACTGCAGAAGCCCATTCAAGACAGGATCTTTCAAAATCCCTTGGAGCAAGATTTGATAGCTAACAACAGCAGAGTGATAGCATTAGAACCAGCAACCCCTCACCCCAAAATCCCAACACAGGACATAGTCATCAGCCACAGTCCCAGAGAAGCAGGGACTGCTTATGTCCTTTAGGACATAATAGGATTAGCCCACCACCATTAGAATACCAAAAAGGCACACTGAAATCAAAATGCTGAAATAATTTTGATAATGGCCTATTGAAACTAAAAGTTTATAATACAAACATATAGATAAGTTCATCAGTGCATGGTGAAGCCATCCTATGGATTATTACATCTCAAATGATTCTGTTTGAATACATGATCTCTTTCCACAGAATCAGATGTATATTCTTTAGATGGAAATTAGTTCACAAGATAAGCAGTAGTAGCACACACCCAAAACAACCCAGAAGTTTATATTCATCCTTATACCCTTTCTCAAAATTATAAGTACTATTAAATAAGAATTATATCCTAGATTAAAACATCTAAAATCTTCCAAATATCATCAATTTTGTCTTCATTGACTTCTTTAAAATACTTTTCCATACTTTTAATTCTTGTACCACAGATACATTTATCAACTAATTTACATATTAAAGGGACTGCTTTACTATTAACAGTCAAGTATCTTTGATCATATATAATATTAAAGAAATGTTTTGACCATCCTGACACTCTAGCTAAGAGAAATGGAATGCAAGACAAGTTTGCTCTATGGAGCAAGCTGAATAACCACTTCCTCGTACTTCTTAAAGTTTATTTACCTAAAAAGTTACCCATGTACATGGGGGAAAACTGAAAGAGAAGATCATGTTCCTGTAGGACAGACATGTCAAACACAAGGCCCGGGGGCCAGATGCGGCCCGCAAAGTGGTTTCATGTGGCCCGCGAAGCCATTTGGAAACAGTGAGGGAATGGCCTGTGCTGCCTTGGCCCTGGCCCAGGCCAGCCAAGAGTCAATGTGCAATTTTGTGGTGGCCATCTATGCTGAAACGCATTCAGTCTTAGCTCCACAAGGCTGTCTGGAAACAGTGAGGAACCAGCCCCTGCCGCGTCAGCCCTGCCCCCTGGGTGCATGCTGGGGAGGTGTCACCCTTTGTGAGGAATGAAGAAATGGACCATACCTTGGCGCTTGCCCCAGTCCCACCCCCTTCTGCCAGAGACCCTCAGATCTGTCCCACTCCTGCCCAGGCCTCCACAAGCACCCTTCACACGAACGATTTAGAGCTGGCCATGCCCACCCAGTAGGCCACACCCACTCCACTCACACCCACCTAGTAGGCCGCACCCACCCTGGCCACACACACACACCCCGAGGTCAACCGCAATGCTGATGCGGCCCTCAATGAAATTGAATATGACACCCCTGCTATACGAGTAATATCATTTGCTCACAATATGGGATTCCCTAAATTTAAGCATTGTTACAGTGGTAAAAGAAGAAGCCCCACCACATTATCTAGCATTATTTCAAAAATTAGAAAACAAGTGTCTATTCCACTATGGGGGAAAAAAAAGAACAGTCCTACTCGGGACTTTTCTTAAGAAAAGTATAAAGAACTGCCCTACATCTTTTATAGCCTTCAACAAATCTTGTGGGAGAACATATGCATATCAAAAGCAACTGTTTTCCTACTGTGCCCCAATTACATACTGAGTATGTATACAAACTGGCAGACAAAAATCAATCCACAAACCAGAACCTAGATTTAAGATATATCTTGAATATTTTTTTTTCATGAGAGCTAAATCTTTTATTATCAATGTGTTATTAATATTCATATCAGTAACATATCTGGATTGATTGCCAAACATAAGATAAGAATCAGACATGAAAAATTTAGTACATCAACCCAAGCATGACTTGTCCAATTCCAATTCATAATTACCCTGGAGAATGAACCAAACCATCACATTACTATTACAACAATAAAAAGCATACATTAAAAGAACCAGAAAGAAATGTATTTGCTTATATATTTTAAACCCTTAAGCAAGAATTCTCCATGCAAATAAGCCATCCCCAAGGTTGTTCATCTTGTATGAGATGGGCAGCCATATAAATTTGATTAAATAAATTCAACATTGTTTTAATAAAATAATAACCCAAGCTGAGTCTATCCGGACCTTGGCAATCAATAATTCACAAGCAGAATAAGAATAACTACAGGTAGTCTTCCCTTAACAATTGTTCGTTCAGGGACCCTTCAGAGTTACCATGTTTTTAAATTAATGGTAATCACAATCAGTTTTCAAAGTTATGGCTGATGCGGCACCCTCGTGGTCACATGCTCAAAATTGGTGTGCTTGGCCAGCCACCCACATTTACAACTGCAATGTGCAATTCAACTCCTTTGCCTATCTCTCCCTATCTCTGCTCTTTTGCCCGACCTACAATCTGCTGTAGGAGATGACCAGGCTAAGCCCAATGGGGGCGGGGGTCAAACAAATCATAAGTTACAAGTCCCTTTCTACCCGCAAGAGATCTAACTCCAATCTATCTTGAATTCTTTTCTATTCTTAGCTCCCGCACATTTCCCTTAACAGTCACTTGGCCAGATTCTTGTAGAGCTGTAAGCTTGCAATAAATCTTTATACACATTTGAACTGCCTGAATCTCCTGAGTTCCAGAGGGCTTGACCTCTGCCACTGCTACCTACCTCTGCCACCTACAGCTGACCTTTATCATCATCTTCCTCCACAAGGCCTGAGTGTTCATAGAGTTATGGAGGCTTTGTAAAGGGACAGCATCTGCTTCAGCTGGCGCACCTCACCAACAGTGTAAGGAGGAAGGTGACAAATATAAGCTGGATGGCTGAGTGCATTGTTTTTAAATCAGCCTGGAAAACTGACATATTTTTCTCATCTTGTGTTATTTGTATAAATGAATAAACTATATAAATTACATCATTATGCAAATCTCAGAAACTAACATAATGTAAACTCTGCTATTTACATAAAAATGAAAGTAAATAACAATTGAGCATTAGCAGGCACCCTTTCCTCTCAATTGGCTCACATCATCAAAATTTTACTGTGCATTGTGGTTTAGGGTGCTATATGAAGTCAGCCACAGCATTAATATTTATGAGCAGTACCTGACAAATGTGTCAGATTTATGTCAGAGAAATGTATTAATTATGCAAAATAAGTAAAGGAAAACAAGTTCATTATTCACAATTATTTTCAATTATCTGAAAGCAAATTTACCTTAAAAGTGCTGGGACGATATTCCATAATCCAAGCCAAAAACTGTAATTTTCACCAGCATTCATGTCCAGAAATCCAAATTTATAAATCCACGCACTGATGCCTTCTTTTCTTTGTTCTGTATTCCATTTCACCATTTGAAGGTTAATAAAATGAAGCATCCAACTTGCTGAACTTGATAAGGGATTTAAATATAGCATCTTGGTAGATGTTCTGTTTCACTGACATTCACTTTTCTTATCTGTTCAGTAAAAATAAAAGTTTGCAAGGTTACATACTAGCACATATTAATTACCTATACTATAAAAATAACATCAACCATGATGGTAAGGAAATTTACTAAGGATTTACTAGATTGCTTGTCAATTATACAGACATGTACTTACTTTATTTTTAATTATATTGAATATGCTTACTCAGGAATATGTGTGCTAGAGGTATAATTTACATTTGGGACCAGCAACTCAGTCATTAAGCAAAACCATTTCTGAGCTTACAATCTTATTTCAGCTTTCCTTTGCTTTACAGACCTGCAAAGGTCCTAAATGCAAGGATTGATCATAAAGTTACTTTTTCATCACCACTGTGAATGGCCATTAAACAAGGCGGCCAGTAAGCAAGGACTACCTCTGTAGTCAATACAGAGCCTAGTCAATGCAAATTCACTCAGAATTAAGCCCTATTAAGTTCAATGACAGTAAAACTGTCTCAGATTACAAACCACCATTCTCAATCAAAACCACTAATAATAGGACAATTAAACATCACTAACTGAGAGTTATTTTCTTAAGAACTGGTGTCATATGTTATACTTTGGACTTCTATTTCTGGAAATGTATTTTTACTTGATTAAAATATTGAGGCAAACCCTTGTTTCAATCTGTTTAGAATAATTCACTTAAATTATGATAATTAGAGTATCATCCTCATTAAAATAGTTTAAATTCAATAATTAGGTGATGTCCCAACCGTAAACACACACACACACCCAAATTTATTATAATGTCAACTTTTAGATGCTCTTCATGGCTGTTGAGACTTCAAGGAGCTGCAGTCTCAACAAACATGAAATGGTCCCAGATTGGAGAAGGCAGCTCACTTCCAAATGTTTTAAAAGTTATATTTAATTGCAAATTACTAAAAGATTGTTTATAAGACATTACTAATATATAGTTGCAATACTGAGTTAAAACTGATGTTGTTAAAACTTTGGTTGTTAAGTGAAGAAGTCACTAAAACCAGTATTATCAACCAATAAAAAGCGTGAATGAACGCATCCTCCAATTTTAGCTTTAATCATTAAAACGAGCTTTAATTTGGATAAACTGCACACATTTTATTTTATAAAATTTTGATCTTTTGCAAAGTACACCCTACACTGACTGGGTTCACATATCATATCAATACCAAACTGAGAGCCAGTTTGGTCTAGTGCAGGAGTAGGCAACCTTGGCTCTTTTATGACTCGTGGATTTCAACTCCCAGAATTCCTGAGCCAGCATAGCTGGCTCAGGAATTCTGGGAGTTGAAGTCCACGAGTCATAAAAGAGCCAAAGTTGCCTACCCCTGGTCTAATGGTTAAGACACCTGACTAGAAAGGGAGAAACTGTGAGTTCAAGTCTTGCCTTAGCCATGAAGGCCAGCTGGGTGACTTCAGGCCTGTCAATCTCTCTCAGCGGAACCCACCTCACATGATTCTTGTTGTGAAGAAAACAGGAGGAGGAAGATGTATGGGATATGTCTGCTACCTTGAGTTATTTGTAAAAATAATAAAGGCAGGATACAAATAAATAAAATCATGCCAATCCATTCTCATGACTTGGATCTTCTAAAGGGAAGGATGTGCAGAACTATACATTGGCCAAGTATATATTCACAACACTTTCTAAACTCCAAATTACAGAAGCAGCCATCTAAATCTCTAGGCCTGATTCTTCCATTCTCAGAGAAAAGCTCTTGATTTCAACACCTAGTAAATTAGCTGAAAGGTAAGAAAACAGAATCTGAAAAGTTCCTGAAGAGAAAGATATCACCAAGATAGACAGATTAAAGTACTGAACCAAATACACACACACACACACACACACAACCAATATTTCAGGGATGAGATGAAATACTGGCATGAGACAGTTCAGCAAATAAGAAGTCAGGTCTCTCTTCTTGCACCAATATCACTGAAGCATCCTGCTATTGTTTGCGCATATTTATCATTACTTTTCACTTGAAAAAAAATACCATATAAAGCAGTACTTCCCAGACCTGGCTGAATGACCCAAAATGGGTAAAAATGGTTTTTGGGGGGTAACAACACATGAACCTATTATTCAGTCACAACAGTTACATTTTAAATTGACTTAAAGTTATTTTATCTACATTGGGTAAAAAGGCGTTCTGATAAGCAGCTTTGAGTAATGAAGGAAAAGATTTGAGAAGCACTGCTATAAAGTAAATATTTAATTTAATGGACCAATAGTGATCCTTAATACAGGAACTTCTTTGAATCCATATGGCAAATTTGGAAAAATAATATTGCAAACCAGGTTTTATGGATGTGCAGACATACACAGCAGCATCCAAGGTCTAAACCAAAAGACTACTGTATATTTATAACTTAGGTAATGACCCTAACAAACCCTGACCATACAACCCAACCAGTAGTTGCCAATAGTTTGACTGAACTATCTTACAAGCCAGGATCCTCTGGCAGTTACAAAGTTATGAAATTCCGCAACAAATATCAGTTCAGGAAAGTCTGCTCCTCCACTACCACAATACATTAGAGTACATATGTTCACAGCAATTGATTTGGTCTGATTTAGTGTTTTGTATGAATGCTTCATTCTAGCTTATAAACCACGATATGTGCTTTGTCTTGCTTCAGTCCAATTCATTATGATTTAATAAACTAGGAAAACACAACTTGCAACATACAAAACTAGTCTATGTTACATTTATGCTGCAAACTTAAACTTTACACTCTCTCCCCAAAACTTTTTTAAGATAAGGTATGTGAAATGAAACCTCATTATAACAATCTACCCCAAACCCAGCCCTTTCAGATTTTTTTTTAACTCCTTATGTGACCTTGTAAAATTGTTTGTGGGACTTGTAATTCAAAAAATGCCCGAGGACAAGGAAAACTTCACTGGAAAATCTTAGTCCACTTCAAAAGAATAAATTTGGTAAAGTTATAGTGCAGGCACAGCATAAAAAGAAAAGAGTAAGAGTAAGTTTTTGATCTGCTCAAAAACTACTGAGAACTCACAAAGTATTATAGAATGTTGAAATCTCACAAGATTCCACAGTATGCATAAGACAAAAAAAGTTACAAGATGGATACAATGATGAAATAAAGTACAGGAAACAAAGAGAAACAATGGGACAGAGAAAAGTGATTGCAAAAAAAAACCAAAAACCAATAGGATAAAGCTAAACAAAAGGAGGAACAGAGGACAAGAAATGGAAAGTAACTAAAAGTCCCAGGACAGAAGGGGAAGATGCCAGAAATCTGAAATAAACAGAATTTTCAGAAGTACACCATGAAGCTAGAACAAAACTGCCTGAAAATCTCTGTCTTAATGATGGCCTTTGTGGGCTTACAAAATGGTCCAAATGCAAAGCATCCTTCTGTTCCAAAACAAAGAGTTATCTGGTGGTTCTATTCTTGTACAAAAGTTGCCTCTGTAGGAAAAAACTACCAGCCACCTGCATTCCACCCACATAGATCCACTCTGGACCACTTCTTCCAAATCCATTTTCCCTTCAATTAAGCATTTTTTAAAAATTATTATTCCACATATTCACAAGAATCCCTCTTTCACTCTACATTTACAGAAGTCGCATCTCAGCAGGCAAATGCTTTCTTCTGTCTAACACCCAAACTGCCTTACATAGGCAGATCCAACTTGACCACAATGGACATCAGCAAAATCAACCCATAAGACCTGGGGCTGGCCATCAAACCCAAGTGGATTTTATGCGATGCTGCGCTTGCCCCTTCCAGAAAATCAGACTACCCCTTCCACGTAAAACTTTCAGTTAAATTACAAAGGAAGAAGAGAGAAACTTACATCAACAGCTCACCTTCCTTTTCCTCTAAGCTGCAAGGGGGAAAAAATAAAAAATCAAGATCCTTTGAAGTAATTGTTGGAAAAGTTTGCAAGTCTTTGGGAAAGTTCAAGAAGTGAAAGGAATACCCTCTTGAAAGACCAGATAAGGCAGACAGGGAGATGAAGAGTTCATCCGAGTTTCCTCTTTTGTTCAGGCTCCCCGATCAGACAAAGAACGAGCGAGCAGCAGGTTTCTCCCCTTTTCCCTCCCATCTCTCTTCCCCCAACCCTTGGGTCCAACAGCAACTCACCAACTTCAGCCGCCCCTTCTCCTTCGAAAGGTCTGGATCCCGAGATAAGATAACAGAAATATACACCGAGAGAGAGAAAGGGACGCCTCATCCCTGGCTTCCAGTTCAAAACTTCCCTCTAAGTGAGCCTCCCAGAAAAACAATCTTAATGGAGGCGGAGGAGGCGAGGAGAATCCCTCCGATCGTTGTTTCCGGCAAATGCACCTCTTTGTTTGGATCCCCCTTGACAGGCGCGGAGAACGACCTCCTCTCGCAATTCGGCCGGGTGGGCGCGGGAGTCCTCTCACCGTTCCCAAGGACGAAAACCGGGGCTTTCAAGAACCCGGGATGGGAGCCGGGGAAGTGGAAGGGCTACTCAAGCGGCGCGCTGGGAGGAGGGAGAAAGGGAGGGGGGGGACGGGAAGCAAGTTTTGGGTGAAGCCTCTTTCCTTTCACTTTTGGAAGCGCATCCAGGCGAGGAGAACAAAAGCGTCGCCGCGGCCGGGACTCGGCGCGCAGCTTTTCCCGGCTTCTGACATCGCTACCTGTTGCACAGGCAGGGAGGGGTGGAAGCCAGAGCATCCAGCGCACAACAAAGCGCCGGCCTTTTCACCTGCCCTCCTCGTGCTTCTCCCCTTCCTCGGAAGCAGGGAAAGCCACTGGGCTCGGTCGCCAAATACCGACCACAAATACATCGGGGGAGGGGATTTGGAAAGGAAAGCAAAGAAGCTTTCCCGGCAAGGGCGCATCTGCTTTTGCAAGAGGAGCCGCGTCTTCAAGAGTCGCGCAGAAGCAACAAGTCGCAGCTCCCGATCGCTTCCCAAGCTGCGAAGGACACACGGTCCGCGGCTGGGAGTCCCGATGTAGCCTAACTCCTCTCCAAGCCCACCGGTTTTTCCACCGGGAGGATCGCAAAGTGTGCGGAGCAAGGGAAAAGCGCGCCCCCAATTCTGCCACTGCTAAAAGAAAAATCCGGGGAGGAGGGAAGGGGGGTGGACCGCGTTAGCCGGGCACCCAGAGAGAACAGAGCTCACCTGAGGGAGGGAAGCACTTGATCTTTCAAATGGTGGACGGAGTCCAGGGTCTGCTTGGCCCCCTTTCCAGCCAGTGGCGCGGGTCTAAAGCATCTCCCGCTTGTCCCCCACACCATCGCGTGTAACTTTGTCGGGCAAATTGTCGAGGGAAACAACGTGCTAAAACGCAGGCCTGAAAGTCCACCGAGTAGAAAGGGAATCCCCGATAATGGCCCGCGTAAAGTCTCCCACCTCCCTCGCTACCGCTCTGCGTCTAGAAAATAAAATATACGTTCATCCACGTGCGTTTAAAAATGGAAAGGGGCAAAGAGCTGAGGGAATATAGAATTATATAAAGTCTCTACAGCCGTTCGTCAAATGCTTTTGTCGAATAATACAAATGTTGAAAATATTGAAACCACGATAAAACTAAAACTCTTTTTTTGCACGTGCTTGGAACGGCAGCCTGCTCGCCCACCCTATTGGACCCCTAGAAGAGAGCGGGAAAATCTCGGATGATGTCACCTTTGTACTCCAGTCTCTGCCTGAGTATCTTCTAGGGCTGGATTTCCAACAACGTTTCCTTTGAAATTCCTACACAGGTAGTCCTCAACTTACCATCACAATTGAGCCCAAAATTATGTTACTAAGTGAGAAATGGGTTAAGCGAGTTTTGGCCCATTTTAAGCCTTTTCTGGCCACATTTGTTAAGTGGATCACTGCAGTTCTTAATTTAATAACATGCTTGTTAAGTGAGTCTGGTTTCCCCATTGACTTTGCTTGTCAAAAGGTCGCAAAAGGGGATCACATGACTCCAGGACACTACAACAAATGTTACAAATGTGAGTCAGTTGTCAAGCATCCAAATGTAAATCACATGACCATGGGGATGCTGCATTGGTCATAAGTGAAACATGGTCATAAGTCACTTTTTTCAGTGCCATTGTAATTTTGAACAGTCACTAAATGAACTGTTGTAAGTTGAGGATTACCTTTACTATACTACCTTACTGTATTCATGCCCTCGATATAATACAATATAATGTACCAGTGCAGAAGATTTAAGGAGGTGGTCTTAAAGATACAAAGCAAAATTAGGCAACTTTTGGAGGTCTCTAATCTTCTGAGATAAAATGGGAACTCATAAAATGGCTGCCTCCGGGGATTTTTCTGCTTCCAAGTGGTTGCGCTGAATGGCTATAGCCAATGACAAAAGACCATTTAATGAAAGGTGATCTAATCCATTAGGATGCTGCCCATTATTCATGGGAAACTATGTGGGGTCAAAAGCACTGCTGCAACTAAATGCAGTCCTGGAGGTTCCTGTTTCACTTTACAGCATGACAGCATCCTATTTAATCCTGCTAGTAGAAGATATTTTAAGGAAGATTGGATGAATGGTAGATTATGGGATCTCAAAGAGGTTTTTCAAAGACATGTACATCAGCAGGCACTAAATACTTCTCTGACCTTAATGCATCTGCAGAGAGACCTCCTGCAGTCCTGTTTCTGGTGACACATCTCTTGAGTAAAGATGGCTTGAAGGATCCTTTGCAAGTCCATGCACAAGAATTTGCTCAGTATATGCCAGAAATGCTTGAATTCACACACAATTGGATAATGGTCTTACTGTAATTCCAGGGAGATGCCTGGACTAAGTTTTGTCTGGTTTTCTTGGAACAGTTTGAACCTGTTTGGCCTGATGAAATGGGACAGGCTCCTTAGGACTGTGAGCTCAGCCACCTATTTAGATCAGGGATCTCCATACTTGGCAACTTTAAGACTTGTGGACTTCAACTCCCAAAATTCTTTAGTTAGCATAGCTAGCTAAGGAATTCTGGAAGTTGAAGTCTTAAAATTGCCAAGTTTGGAGAACCGTTCTTTAGATCCATGCCCCTCCTGGCTTATTAAAGGAGCCAGGGAGACGGTGTGTTAGTGTGCTTTGGTGATGATAAATACTTAAAGAAGTGGGTTCTTCCTCTTAAGGAGTACTTGGTACACACTCCCCCCAAGAAGCCATCACCAGACCCTGTGATACTGGATAACTATCATCCAGTATCCAACTTTCCCTTTTGGGGAAAGGTGATTGAGAAGAGGGTGTTACCGCAGTTCCAGAAGGTTTTGGATGAATCTGGAACCCTTTTCAGTCAGGATTCAGAACTGGGTATGGGACAGAAATTGCATTGGTCATGCTTTTGGATGATCTCTGGCATAGGCAGGATGGAATTCTGTGTCCATCCTTGCGTTTATTTATTTATTACATTAATATGATGCCAATCTCACTGTTATAGTAATTCTGGGTGGCTTATAGCATAATAAAAAAGATGAAAAGATAATACAAATACTTTGCTTGATCTTTTGGCAGCTTTCAAGACCATCAACCAGAGTATCCTGGATCAACTAAGAGGATTGGAGATGGATGGCACAGTGTTGTATTTCTCCAGGATTGATTCTAATTCAGTGGTTCTCAACCTGTGGGTCGGGACCCCATTTGGGGTCGAATGACCATTTCACGGGGGTCGCCAAACAATGCAGTCCACCATTTTTTTCCCCTTTTCCTTAGCTGTGCTACTCCCTTTTACTCTATTGGCTTTTGAAAGCCAATAGAATAGACTTTCTTGAATAGAGTCTAATTCTATTGGCTTTCAAAAGCCAATAGGAATTGTCCAGGTTGTCTCTGCCCTGCTCAGCCCGCCAAAAGTCCCATTCTGCAAACGGTGTTGCACCAGTTGAGTAGTCCTCGACTTACGACCAGTTGAGTAGTCCTCAAGTTACGACCGGTTGGGGGTCGCGGTATTGAAAAGGTTGAGAACCACTGTTCTAATTGGTGGTGATTGGGGAGGAAAGATCCCACCCTAAGCCCTTACTATGTAGAGTGCTGCAGGGATTGAAGCTTTCTCCTCTCTTTTTTAACATCTACATGAGACTGCTGGGTGAGTTCCTCCATTGCTATGAGTGAGGTATCATCAATATGCTGATGATACCAAATTGTAGATCTCTGCTCCTGGGGGATGACTAAGCGATGCTGTGGACATCTTACCCTGGGGTCTAGAGGGTGTGAGAGACTGGATGGGGAACAACAGGCGTCAACTGAACCCTGGTGAAACTGAGTGGTTTTGGGCTTTTGGCCCCTCAGTTTCTGGGACAATGCCATGTTTGGTGCTGGATGAGATTACAGATACAATCTGAGGGTCTTCCTGTATTCACGCCTGTTCAAGGAGCAGGTAAAACTCACGGTTAAGAGGGCCTTTGCACAATTTTCTATTGTATGCCAGTTGAGCTCATTTTTAGATTGAAGGCTCTACTCGTGGTTACTCATGCCCTCGTCACCTCCTGGTTACATTACTGCAATGTGGTCTACATGTGGTTGCTTCTGAATCGTATCTGGAAATTTCAGCAAGTGCAAAATGCAGCAGTGTAGTTAAGTTATCTTATCCTGGTGGAACACTTCTGCCCGGCAAACTGCATCGGTTGCCTGTTTGTCTCCAGGTCTAATTCAATATGCTGTTTTTGAACTTTAAAGCCGTACATGGCATGGGACCAATTTATTTGGTGGACTTCCTCTCTCCAATTACACCTTCCCATCCCATCAGATCTGGTACAGAAAATATGCTGCAGGTTCCAACATTTAGGAAGTTATATTTGGTGGCCCCAGGCAGAGGGTTTCCTTGGCCGTGGAGCCCATGTTGTAGAATATCCTCCCCCTTGAGGTTAGGTTGGCACCATCATTCCTGACTTTCTGAAGGTCCCTCAATATTCATCAAGCCTGGGAACCCCGGGGAAATGGCGAACTGGTAAGGTGGCTCCAGTGCTACTGACATCCCTTTGCCGATTATTTATTTTTGTTAACTGCATTTTTATAATTGTTAATGTCTTAATAATACTAGTTATTTGTGCATTATCCAAGGGAGATGGGTGGTTAAGAAATACAAAATATAAATAAATTATTGGGTTTTTTTAAACTTTGTTATTTGCCTTCCAGAGTCATTTGCTTTGTGATGTGAGCATCTATATAAATTTGAAAGATGGAAAAATAAATAAAAATATGCATGGATTTGCCCTGCAAGGAAGGGCAAAGTGACATAATGTGTCTCATGACATCCTTGCACAAATAAGGCAGATTGTTTATATCATTGTACAAGGATGTCATGATGCAATTTTTTAAAAAGTCCTGATAAAGATCAAGTACATTAGGAAGAAGAACTTCTTGTTTAGGCAATGTATTTCTTACTCCAATAGAGGAGAATATAGGCAGCTCAGGGCTGAACTATGGAGTTCTTGGCACTCTCTAAGCTTGGTTGTTTGCTTGCAGTCATTTCATTACTCAACCAGGTACCATCAGTTCCTCAAAAGGAGACAAAGAGACTGGAACATATCATCTCCAGCAGCCAGCTACTCAGATAAGTAGGGATAAACACGAGACAAACAATCAGGCAGAAAATAACATTCTAATCATGGAAGCAGCAAGGAGGAAGTCGTCCTACCACCAAAATTGGAAGGGCAAACTACTATTTATAACAGGCATCAAACACCATGGATGATGTGACCTAGTTGGATAATGACAAATTGCAAGTGAACAACCAAGTTCAGAGAGCACTAAGAAAACATTTTCTTC